TACGAAGCATTTATTAGAGATAACCCACCAACGAACATTAGGTAGCTACTATTTCTATACGTGATAGGGCGAGCAAATGGATAGTCTAAATCGTCTTTGAACCGTGTGAGACGGCGTTTTGTGGCATTTTCAAGAACCTATCCTGACGCGTCTCTGAACCATCGTCCATTAAAACACTCGAGGTACCTACTGCCACTAAGCGAGAAAGTAGATAAAATGGATGGCCAAATTCGAATTTACTGGGTGTGATACAATTGTTTATACCATTCTCGAGAATCTATATGAAGGATTTATTTAATAGTCCACCAAAGAACATGAGGTTGCTACTGCTTCTGTATGTCTATGCACTGTGTGAGACGACGATTTGTGACAATTCTAGGAACCTATCGCGAAGCGTTTCTGAACGCTAAAGTGCTTAAGGTACCTACTGCCACTAAGCGAGAAACTAGATAAAATGGATGGCCCAATTCGAATTTACAGGGGGTGATACAATGATTTTTACCATTCTCGGGAACCTACATGAAGTATTTATCATTTGGTCTAGCAATAAACATGAGGTACCAACTGCTTCTATTGGTGATAGGAGGACCAAATTGATATCCTAAATCGTCTTTGAACCGCGTGAGACGACGATTTGTGGCATCTTCAGGAACCTGTCATGACGCGTCTCTGAAGCATCGTCCACTAAAATACTCGAGGTACCTACTGCCACTAAGCGAGAAAGTAAATAAAATGGATGGCCAAATTCGCAATTACTGGGTGTGCTACAATGATCAATACCATTCTCGGGAACCTATATAATGGAATTATTAGCTAGTCCACCAAAGAACATGAGGTAGATACTGCTTCTATACGAGATAGAATGACAAAATCTATCGCGAAGCTTTTCTGAACGATAGTCCACTAAAGTACTCATGGTACCAACTGCCACTAAGCGAGAAGGTAGACAAAAGGGACTGCCAAATTCGCCTTTACAGGGTGTGATACAATGATTTTTACCATTCTCGGGAACCAATATGAAGTACTTATCAGATATAGTCCACCCAAGATGAGGAGGTACCTACTGCTTTTATACGTGATAGGAGGACCAAACGGATAGCCTAAACCGTCTTTGAACGGTGTGAGACGACGATTTGTGACATTTTTGGGTATCTATCGCGAAGCGTTTCTGATCGATAGTCCACTAAAATACTCGAGGTACCTACTGCCACTAAGCGAGAAAGTAGATAAGGTGGATGACCAAATTCCCTTTACAGGGTGTGACACAATGATTTATACTATTCTCTATAACTTATATGAAGAACATTAGTTAGCTACTATTTCTATATGTGATAGGAGGACCAAATGGATAGCCTAAATCTTCTTGAACGGTGTGAGTCGGCGACTTGTGACATGTTTAGGAATCTATCGCGAAGCGTTTCTGAACGATAGTCCACCAAANCGGTTTTCAAACCGATAAAGGTAATGATATTACAAAAAATAAGAGTGTTTTCGATCACTGCGACCTAACAAATTTTAAAGTTCACTTAGGATCCACTATGTACCCGTATGATAATTTGAATTTAGATTTTGATCTTTCCAGATTTGCTGTTTTGTACGAAATGTATGTTAATTTTCAACAATCGTATTATGGTAATGTAAGTGAACCCTTATTCGATCCTAAGGAATTCCGAACAACTGCTCCTCTTGTAAAAGTAGACTGCTCTTATCAAAACGAAATTGTGAAATCTGGAAGTATCGATATTCGCTTAGAAATTTAAACTAAACGCAATATACCAGATAAAACAGCAGCTTACTGTTTAATCACTCATGATCGTGTGATACGTTACAATCCCTCTACAAACTTGGTTCAAGAAGTATAAAACCCAATGACTACATCCATACTTCACTTTCTTTACCGGTACTGTACAGTGAGCACGATGACTTTCTTACTAGATGTACAAGGTTTTCAATGTTGTGAGAATCGATTTGTTTTCAAGGAAGTAGCTATTGTTGTGCTAAAAGAAGAAACAATTTATCATTTCACATTTCAGCCACCATTTCCATGGGACGCCCTCCCAGTTCGTTACAGAAGTCAAAATCGTTGGTTAACCAGAAATTTTCATGGGTTATATTGGGATGACGGTGATGTTCCATACTCTACGATTTATGATAGTATTCATCCTATATTGATGGAGTCAACAATTGTATATGTTAAGGGATTACAAAAGAAAATGTGGTTATTGGAATACTTTCCTAATGTTAACTTTGTTAACATTGAAGACATCGAATGTCCATCTCTCTTAAGTCTAGCAGCTGATTTTAAAGTAAACGTGTGTTCTTATCATTTATTTAAAACAGCTATAGAACCAACTTGTGCTTACAAAAATGTTCTTTTATTAAAATATTGGTTGTCTTTACACTCATAAAATCATTTAAACAAATAAAACACATTAAAATAAAATATAGATTTTTTATTCTCTTACATAACGCTATATATTTTACATTTGTATTTCTATATCAACTGCTTTTCCGACAAATCCTTTGAGTCGAATTGATGGATGACCCACTTTTTTATCTATTTTATCGTTTATATCCTCGATTTCTGCATCCGTAAAAGCTTCTGCATGTCTGCAGGAAAGAAATATAACAAAGCTGTACAAATCAGCTAACAGACGAGGACCCCATTTTGTGTGAACCTTTTTGAAGCGTTGTACGGGATACGTTTGATTCACTTCCAATGATGTTAGAGAACGTATTTCTTTTTCTTCATAACCCACCCGCACACTATTAAACTTTTCGATAAAGCTTTCCATGTTTACTAACTTACACACTCAACTCTTCTAAACTTCTACTGCTCCTTCACTCATTCGCGTAACTTATGTACCTAAAACCCCTTCCACTAAAACAAGTCTCTCTGGAGGGGCAGTGCAATAAGAACACGTTCTTCGTATTCATCATCTTAGTTGTAATGGAAAAACCAATCATGATCAGTGTATCGTCGTTGCTGATTTTAACATATTTATATAACAACACCCTCTACATTTCACGACCTGATAATACAATTGGTGATCAAGCCTATGTTTGTAAAAATTTTAATAAAGATATTGATGTGCCTTGTGCATGGATGAAAAATTGGGGATCTGTTATTTTAAAAAATGTGAATGGTACAAATGTTTATACCATTGAAAACGTGGAAAACCTGCACTCTGTAAAACTTGCATTCATTGAAAAAGATGGACAGTCTCGAAAATACGTTGAAAGCCGATGGATTCACCTTCATGAGGCTGAAAACAGAGAGGGCTCTGTATCAAAGGGTTACATCACCGACTCTTTCCTATTTCTACAAGTTGTAAGCACTATTAATGTAATTTTATTATTCAATATTTTGATTGTAGCACTCATATACTTTATTTATATCAAAATAAAGAATCGTTAACCTTAACAACATTTCATTTAATTATCGACATAACATTTAACTGTACAACTCAACCACCTTCTCCCTCGTCCTAGCGTATTCCTACTTCTTTCCCTCTCACAACCAAATAACTTCTATTTAAAAACCGCATTCTTTGCAGTATAAACGCAACCAATATATGTATTAATGCAAGAGCCAATAACATCATGTGACCAGTAACAGATTTAACAGTTACACGTTTACGATCGATGACGTTTCGTCACTTACCTACTCCTCTGTGCTAGAATCGGTTATCTTACCCTACTCACCGGAACCTACATGAAGTATTTATTATATGGTCCACCAAAGAACATGAGGCAGCTACTGCTTCTATTCGTGATAGGAGGACCAAATGGATAGCCTAGATCGTCTTTGAACTGTGTGAGACGGCGAATTGTGACATTTTTAGGAACCTACAGCAAAGCGTTTCTTAACGATAGACCACCAAGATACTCGAGGTACCTACTGCTTCTAAGCGAGAAAGTAGGTAAAATGGATGGAAAAATTCGCCCCTACTGGGTGTGATACAATGATTTATACAATTCTCGATAACTTATATGAAGCATTTATTAGAGGTAGCCCTCCAACGAACATTAATTGGCTACTATTTCTATACGTGGTAGGATGACCAAATTGATAGCCTATATCGTCTTTGAACCGTGTGAGACGGCGTTTTGTGGCATTTTCAGTAATCTATCAAGACGCGTCTCTGAACCATCGTCCACTAAAATACTCCAGAAGCCTACGGCCACTAAGCGCGAAAATAGATAAAATGGATGGTCAAATACGCCTTTGCAGGGAGTGGTACAATAACTTATACCATTCTCGAGAACCTATATGAAGGATTTATTAAATAGTCCACCAAAGAACATGAGGTAGCTACTGTTTCTATACGTGATAGAAGGACCAAATGGTTAGCCTAAATCGCCTTTGCACTGTGTGAGACGACGATTTATGACAATTTTAGGAACCTATCGCGAAGCGTTTCTAAACGATAGTCCATTGAGATACTCAAGGTACCTACGGCCTCTGAGCAAGAAAGTAGATAAAATAGATGGCAAAATTCGCCTGTACAGGGTGTGATACAATGATTTTTAACATTCTCGGGAACCAATATGAAGTATCCTTTAGATATAGCCCACCAAAGAACATGAGGTAGCGACTGCTTCTATTCGTGATAGGAGGAAAAAATGGATAACGTAGATCGTCTCTGAACTGTGTGAGACGACGAATTGTGACATTTTTAGGAACCTATAGCAAAGCGTTTCTGAACGATAGTCCACCCATACAGCACATGTTTATCCATAGGATGTTAAAAGAACATCCATCTGGGATTTTAAGGATATCTTATACAGATCCGTTTCATGTTCGGCGGACGTCTTCAGGATGTCGTATGGATAGACGAATGTCACAGTTTCATACATTCATAAAATATACTCAACGGACATTTGAAAAACATACGGACGGGATATTTACAGGACATCTTAGGAATGACACATATATATCGTATTGTTTGCTATCATACTTTTTGATGGAATAGGCTATCTTTATACAAACGCATATGAATCTCTATCTAAGTTTATTGCATACAAATAAAAAAATACTTATTTGAACATGTTATGGATAAATACAAGGTAATAATATTACAATAAGGAATTTCGTTTACTTTTGGTGATTAACTGTTCTTTTGCTCTTCGCAATTTTTTATCCCTTCTTCTAGATTCTTGCTTGAACAACTGGATGTTGCTTGATTTAATCTAGCAGCATCTGTGGAATAGAAAAAAAACATATTAATAGTTTTTAAAAAAATATTAGTATGTAACTTATGATTAATCATACCTATCTAAATTTACTTAATGAAAACTTATAATCCTATTTTATTAATTAGTAACTTACTTATTATCAGTCTAGATAGATGGAGATGACAAAATACTTCCTTTTTTTTGGCACCTTTGGCCAGTTATATCTTACGGAAATATCGTCCGACAAAATTTTTGTAAACACCCTCTTTACAAATTCGTAGGGAGTATGTCCGCCAATTCTTACAACTTCTTGTGCCTAAAAAATATTAACTGCAGGTATTTCTACACAAAACTAATTAAGCAAATTTACCGATAATAATAATAAATTTTCGTGATTAAGAAATATATTTATTACAGATTCATTTTTAGAGATAATATTTTCTGGAAAACGAGATGTAACAGGCAACTGGAATTGTAAATTTAATTTATTCGTAGTGCAATTATTATTATCTGCGTATTTCTGACTAAAGGTATATATTTTTTTGGTATTATATAGATGCTATTAATAAAGAAATTTCAGATGTTTTTTTAGCGACCCTGTATCGCTGCCTCGGCAATTTTAATTTAACCATCACGAAAAAATATTGTTAAGTACGTTATTATTATCACAGGTAGCTACTGCCTCTATTCGTGATAGGAGGACCAAATGGATAGCGTAGATTGTCCTTGAACTGTGTGAGACGACGAATTGCGACATTTTTAGGAACCTATAGCGAAGTGTTTCTGAACGATAGTCCACTAAAATACTTGAGGTACCTACTGCCACTAAGCGAGAAAGTAGATGAAATAAATGGCAAAAATCGCCTTTACAGGGAGTGATACAATGATTTTTAACATTCTCGGGAACCAATATGAAGTATTTATTAGATATAGCCCACCAAAGAACATGAGGTTGCCACTGCTTCTATACGTGATAGAAGGACCAAATGGATAGCCTAAATCGTCTTTGCACTGTGTGAGACGACGATTTGTGACGATTTTAGGAACCTATCGCGAAGCGTTTCTGAAGGATAGTCCACTAAAATACTTAAGGTACATACAGCCTCTAAGCAAGAAAGTATATAAAATGGATGGCAAAAATCGCCTTTACAGAGAGTGACACAATGATTTTTAAAATTCTAGAAAACCTATATCGAAGCATTTATTAGAGATATTCCACCAAAGAACATGAGATAGCTACTGCTTCTATACGTGATAGGAGGAGCAAATAGATAGCCTAAATCGTCTTGAACGGTGAAAGACGACGATTTGTGACATTTTTAGGAATCTATCGCGAAGCGTTTCTAAACGATAGTCCACTAAAATACTCAAGGTACCTACTGCCTCTAAGCGAGAGGGTATATAGGATGGATGGCAAAAATCGCTTTTACTGGGTGTGATACAATGATTTACACCATCCCCGGGAACCTATATGAAGTATTTATTAGATGGTCCACCAAGGAACATGAGGTATCCACTGCTTCAACACGTGATAGGAGGACCAAATGGATAGCCTAGAATGTCTTCGAACTGCGTGAGACTACTATTTGCGACATTTTTAGGAATCTATCGAGAAGCGTTCCTGAACGATAGACCACTAAAATAGTCGAGGTACCTACTGCCTCTAAGCGAGAAGGTAGATAAAATGGATGGTCAAATTCGCTTTTGCAGAGTGTGACACAATGATTTATACCATCCTCGATAACTTATATGAAGTATTTATTAGAGATGATCCACCAAAGAACATTAGGTAGCTACTGCCGCTATACGTGATAAGATCACTAAATGGAAAGCCTAAATCGTCTTTGAACCGCGTGAGACGGCGATTTGTGGCATCTTCAAGAACCTATCATGACGCGTCTCTGTAGTATCGTCCACTAAAATACTCGAGGTACCTACTGCCACTAAGCGAGGAAGTAGATAAAGTAGATGACCAATTTCGCCTTTACAGGGTGTGATACAATGATTTTTACCATTCACGGGAGCCAACATGAAGTATTTATTAGAAACAGTCCACCAAAGCACATGATTTAGATACTGCTTCTATATGTGATAGGAGGACCAAATAGATAGCGTAAATCATTTTGAACGGTGTGACACGACGATTTGTGACATGTTTAGGAGTCTATCGCGAAGCGTTTCTGAAGGATAGTCCACAAAAATACTCGAGGTACCTACAGCCTCTAAGCGTGAAGGTAGATAAAATGGATGGCCAAATTCGAATTTACTGGGTGTGATACAATGATTTATACCATCCTCGGGAACCTATATGAAGTATTTATTAGAGATAATCCAACAAAGAACATTAGGTGGCTACTGCTCCTATACGTGATAAGATGACTAAATGGATAGCCTAAATCGTCTTTGAACCGCGTGACACGGCGATTTGAGGCATCTTCAAGAACCTATCATGACGCGTCTCTTTAGCATCGTCCACTAAAATACTCGAGGTACCTACTGCCACTAAGCGAGGAAGTAGATAAAGTAGATGACCAATTTCGCCTTTACAGGGTGTGATACAATAATTTTTACCATTCACGGGAACCAATATGAAGTATTTATTAGAAACAGTCCACCAAAGAACATGAGGTAGATACTGCTTCTATACTTGATAGGAGGACCAAATAGATAGCCTAAATCGTCTTGAACGGTGTGACACGACGATTTGTGACATTTTTAGGAATCTATCGCGCAGCGTTTCTGAACGATAGACCACTAAAATACTAATGGTACCTACTGCCACTAAGCGAACCAAAATACTCGAGGTACCTCTTGCCACTAAGCGAGAAAGTAGATAAAATGGATGTCCAAATTCGCCTTTACAGGGTGTGATACAATGATTTATACCATTCTCTATAACTTATATGATGTATTTATAAGAAACGGTCCACCAAAGAACATGAGGTGGATACTACTTCTATACGTGATAGGAGGGCCAAATAGATAGCCTAAATCGTCTTCAACGGTGTGAGACGACGATTTGTGACATTTTTAGGAACCTATCGCGAAGCGTTTCTGAAGGATAGTCCTCCAAAATACTTGAGGTACCTACTGCCTCTAAGCGAGAAAGTAGGTAAAATGGATGGCCAAATTCGCCTTTACAGGCTGTGATACAATGATTTATACCATTCTCGATAACTTATTTGCTGTATTTATTAGAAATAGTCCACCAAAGAACATGAGGTAGCTACTGCCCATATACGTGATAGATGGTCCAAGTGGCTAGCCTAAATCGTCTTTGAAATATGTGAGACGACTATCTGTGGCATATTTAGGAACCTATTGCGAAGCGTTTCTGAACGATAGACCACCAAAATACTCGAGGTACCCACTGCCTCTAAGCGAGAAAGAATATAAAATGGATGGCAAAAATCGCCTTTACAGGGAGTGATACAATGATTTTTAAAATTCTCGAAAACCTATATTGAAGCATTTATTAGAGATAGTGCACCAAAGAACATGAGGAAGCTACTGCTTCTATACGTGATAATAGGACCAAATAGATAACCTAAACAGTCTTTAATGGTGATAGACGACGATTTGAGACATTTTTAGGAATCTATTGTTAAGCGTTTCAGAACGATAGTTCACCAAAGTACTCGAGGTACCTACTGCCACTATGCGAGAGAGTAAATGGATGGCCAAATGCGCCTTTACACAGGATGATACAATGATTTTTACCATTCTCTGGAACCAACATGAAGTATCTATTCTATATAGTCCACCAAAGACATGAGGTATATGGATGAATTTTAAATGGATAGCCTAGATCGTCTTCGAACCATGTGAGACGACTATTTGTGACATTTTTAGGAACCTATCGCGAAGCGTATCTGAACGATAGACCACTAAAATAATCGACGTACCTACTACCTCTAAGCGAGAAAGTAGATAAAATGGATGGCCAAATTACCCTTTACAAGGTGTGATGCAATAATTTATACCATTCTCGATAACTTATATGATGTATTTATTAGAGAAAGACCACCAAAGAGCATGAGGTAGCTACTGCTTCTATACGTGATAGAAGGACCAAATGGATTGCCTAAATCGACATTGAACTGTGTGAAACGACGATTTCTGACATTTTTAGGAACCTATCGCGAAGCTTTTCTGAACGATAGTCCACTAAAGTACTCGAGGTACCTACTGCCACTAAGCGAGAGAGTGGATAAAATGAATGGCCAAATTCGCTTTTACAGGGTGTGATGCAATGATTGATACCATTCTCGGGAACCCATATGAAGTATTTATTAGATGGTTCACCAAAGACTATGAGGTAGCTACTGCTTCTATACGTGATAGGAGGACCAAATAGATAGCCTAAATCGGCTCTGGACTGTGTGAGACGACGATTTGTCACATTTTTAGGAACCTATCCCGAAGCGTATCTGAACGACAGTCCACTAAAATACTCGAGATTCCTACTGCCCCTACGCGAGAAATTAGATAAAATGGATGGGCAAATTCGCCTTTACAGGGTGTGATACAATGCCTGAAGCCTGAAGCGTCTTTGAACGGTGTAAGACGACGATTTGTGACATTTTTAGGAATCTATCGCGAAACGTTTCTGATCGATAGTGCACTAAAGTACTGGAGGTACTATACGTGATAGAAGGACCAAGTGGATTGCCTAAATCGACATTGAACTGTGTGAAACGACGATCTGTGACATTTTTGGGAGTCTATCGCGAAGCGTTTCTGAAGGATAGTCCACTAAAATACTCGAAGTACCTACTGCCACTAAGCGAGAAAGTAGATAAAATGAATGGCCAAAATCGCTTTTACTGGGTGTGATACAATGATTTATACCATTCACGGGAAGAATGAAGTATTTATTAGATAGTCCACCAAAGAACATGAGGTACCTACTGCTTCTATACACGATAGAAGGACCAAATGGATAGCCTAATTCGCCTCTACAGGGTGTGACACAACGATTTTTACCATTCTCGGGAGCCAATATGCAGTACTTATTAGAAATAGTCAACCAAAGAAAATGAGGTAATTACTGCTTCTATACGTAATAGGAGGACCAAGTAGATTGCTTAAACCGTCTTTGAACTTTGTGAGACGACAATTTGAGACATTTTTAGGAATCTATCGCGAAGCGTATCTGAACGATAGTCCTCCAAAATACTTGAGGTACCTACTGCCTCTAAGCGAGAAA